TTTTTTAAATATGTAATGTTGTAAATATGATTTTTAAATTAATTTTTTCTTAATTCATAAATATTTACTTTAACATTCTTGTACTTTAAGTATATTTGTTTCTTTTAAATAATTTTTAAACTTTTTAAATTATAATTCAAAACATTTATTTTGTTTATTTTATTATATTAAAATTTTACCATAATGTGGTAAAATATAATTTTGAAAGTGATGGGAAAAATTAATGTGTCAACTGTCATCATCATGAAAACCACAAGTTAAACAAAATCACTTTTTATTCCCCCCCCTTTACCATCAGTTCCAACAATTTGGGGGGGGGGGAAATCAATATTTGATTTTTTTCTTACATTATGAAACTTTAAATTTCTGAAGATGTGCAACATAAATGTGATATTTTATATATAATGACCTGGTAACCTCTTATGGACAGCTAGAAGCAAGCTGCTTTTATGTACTTAACAAGATACATGTCAGCCATCCACAAAGGAATATAAAATCATATTTTTTGGGAGGGGTAAAATACAAATCAAAATCTTGTCACTGATTATTTAAGTTAATATGCACATAAGTTGCACTAAATAAATTCTTGTAAATATGATTTTTTTTACATAAATAAGAAAATGGAACAAAAATTCAAATTTAACAAAGGGAGTGACTGGATATACTGAGGTAGATACACAATTATTAAAAATTTCAGAATAAGAAACAATAGATGCCATTTACTGTGTTCATATTTAACCCATATACTTAAATATTATATATAGCATAAAATTAAAGACATTTTTAATAAACATATGATATTTTCAACATGAAAAAGATAAAAACTATGTATAAAAAAAACTCATGTAAATAAATTAATAATGAAAAAAGGCAATTTATAAAATATTTGATCAAATAAAACTGAGCCATTACTAATTTCTTTGATATATATATTATATATATATATATATTATATCTTGTTTCAAGTTTATGCTTTTTCAACATCATGTTGACCAACAAGATGATTCCATTTTAATGATATCCAATTAACTAATACTGATTATAGTAAGAAAGAATTTGATTATACATAAACCTATAACAATAAAAAATCACAAATAACCAAAACTGAAACTTTACTGTGAGTCATCTTTTTGTCTCAGGGATAATAAACCTATTGATATAAGCACGAGGAAAAGTGCTTATATGTGTAAATATGAAAAAAAAAATTTTTTTTCCCTCATACTTCTCATTGTTAACATTAAAAAAAAGTATAATTTTTCCGTTATACTTTTTATACTATAACTATAACTATATACTATAACGGAAAAATTATACTTTTTATTGTTAATATAACAAAAATAAAAAAAGTTTACTTTCTTATTTATCAATTATCAAGTGCTCAAGTCAGATTTAAGATCAATGGACTTAAAATGTCCGTATTTTACTTTTTATGTATTGCAGTCAGTATTTTAACAGCATCAAACTTGCAGAAAAATTTCTGCTGCAAGTTGAGTTAATCTCTTTGTTACAGGCAAACACTATTGGCCACACTGAATATCTGAATGTTAAGGAAGATGATAACTTTTAATAGAATTTTGAAAATAGTAACAAGCATAAAATAGAAAACAATTTATCTCAAAACCTAGCAATAAATAAAAGTCTTTCTCTTAACTGACAGCAACAGACTTCACCGATACAAGCTAGGAGATTTTTTCAGATAACTGATTATATATTTCTAGAACTTTTATGTTTTGTGATGCCATCTGAAGAAATTGCAACATGCAAAGTTCACTGGCTGCATTTTTCACGTTGTCAGCCACTATTAAATAAATAATACAGAAAATGTTTTCCAAGATTGTCACTGAAATTTTAGAAATTTGCTGTGCATACAATGAAATTTTATCACATCATGTACTGACATAAATGAACACTGCTTGACAAATTTCATGAAAGCCAGTAAATCCAATGTCAGCTTCCTTCCACCTACCTCTCTTACTAGGCAATGAAATTGTTCTAAAAAACTTTTTTTAAATAATTTAATTTTTTCTGTATTTTTATTATAAATCATTCTATACAATAGAGCAATTAGGATGTAATTAGTCATATTTATGCCCCACTAATGGCCGAGTTATTAAAGGTCACTGAATACTTGTAGTTTGTCCAAGATTAGGCGAATGAGCTGGTTACATGGTTAGTTTTTGTGGTTTATTCCACGTATAACATGAATAGGAGCCAGTTTTCCCTTAAAAAATCAGCCACAAAAGCATCCCTCCCATGTTTTGACAACCATGCTCAAATAACCAAACTAGTGAAATTTATTGTAAAGAAAAGGATGTTTTTACAGATTTCTCAGTTGTAGAGACATTAGGTATATTTTTGGAAGCAGGCAAGATGAAAAATGAGCAAACACCTTCGCTGGGAATCGAACCACGGACCTCTATAATAACGTCCCAGCGTGCAGAACCACTACACCATGAAGGCACGATAGGAAAGTGGAAGAAATACCTTATATACTCCCCTTTTTAAAGAGAGACTTTAGTTTTTAGGGCACCCAATCGCCAAATCCTGGGTGTGGAAAGTCATCATCCACAACCCTTTTAGTTCGGGTGCCACTGTAAAGACATTAGGATTTTTTCTGGAAGCAAGCAAGATGAAAAATGAGCAAGCGCATTCGCCGGGAATCGGACCACGGAATTCTGGAATACCGGCCCAGTGTGCAGAACCACTACACCATGAAGGCACGCTAGGAAAGTGGGAGAAATACCTTATACAGTAACCTGAACTTGATTAACTAGTTTTTTTCAGTCCTATTAATGATGGCAATTATTGACAATTTACAATGTATAATATTTAAGTGGAATACTTTGTAAATTACTTGGTCAGCTTTTTCAGATAATTGACCTATTGACCTTCCAGAAAATGACATCTATTGTATTAGAATTTATTATCTGATGGAACAAAATATAGCAGCATTGTAATTTTGTAAATAAACCTTCAATTATCATTGTTCTGCCATTTCAAAATTATGAAATTTCCATAACTTTGATAATCTTATAAAACAGATTTAATATCACAATTTTCAACTAATTAAAATAAATTTATAAACAATGAAATTACAGTACTGCAGTGAAAAGGAATTATAAAAAGTTTTTTTTAAAAAATCTGGTTTTAACTCTTTACATAAAATTCACTTTCAAATAAAAAAAAAAATTTTTTTTTTTTTTTTTCAATTAACTGGTTTAGAAAAAAAAAAGGTTATCAATAATACAATTTATTACATGAAAGGTAATAAATATGTTTTATTTTAACATAACAATAAATATTTTAATTACATTAAAATTATTTTTATCCTAAGTAAATTTGTAAATATTTCTTTCCTGGCAATATTTTGATTATCTATTAATCTTCTTTAAATCAAGGGCACTTATGTATTTGCATTTATAATCAATTTATTTTATAGCACTGTAGACACTGCAGGATATTATACTTGAAGACTATAATTTCATATATATTCATATTAAATACTTCAAAATGAACTTTATAAACATTAAAATTGATATTCCAAAATATACTCTGCGTATATTAATTATAATATTAATATGCAGCAAATTAACATAACAGAAATGAATGAAAACTATAGCATTTTACAGCACTGTAGACATTGCAGGATATTATAACTGAAGTTTATAATTTCATAAATACTTAAATTAATACTTCAGAATGAATTTTACTAATACTAAAATTAAAATTTCAAAGTGAACTTTATAAACATTGAATACTAAATTATATCAACAAAATAATTAATATTCCAAAATATATTCTGCATATTAATATAGAGCCAATTAATAAATACAATAGAAATGTATCAACAAGAAAAGTAATATATTTAAACAATTATTTACATAAGATGAAAAAAACTGAAAATTCAAAATGAAAAATAATATACTTAGCTCTAAAAAATATTAAATAATTTAGTTGTGATTTGAAGTTGTTTGATGTTTTCTAAATCAAGTATGTCGATATTTGGGGTGGGGCTGAAATTTGAATCATTATTACTTAGCTAATGGAATTCTGAAACAGTGAAATGTATGTACATTGCTGGTTCTTACTTACAAAAACAGAGAATAAAGAAATACTGTTGATTTTAGACTATCAAATATTAAACTTGTACAATACAAAAGTTTGTTGTCATACTGCATCTCACATTAGACAAGTATATTAAAATTATACATAAATGATTCAATTCATCAAACTTTTAAACAAGTAAACTGCTAGAAGTAACAAAGAAAGAAACTTAAGTTATGCAGAATACAATATGCTTATGAGATACAGGTTTATTCTAGGTTTCTTATTTTACAAGCATTGTTAGTGGTAGACAAATTTTAGTACCCCCAAATTATCAAAAAGAACAAAGGCAATAACAGCAGATAATTATACAAAAGAGAAAACTCTACTCCTCATCTGTTTCCCAATCCATGCCCACCCCCAAAAAGAAGGGATAGTAAGCTTTATTGCAAAATATAAATCCAGACATTTTAGTATTTTGAGTAATATAAGAGGAATAATGTAGGGTTGTAAAAGAATTAACAAAACATCAACAATACCAGAAACTAATACATATTTTAACTAGTATAAGAAGCTGCACATTCTTTATAATATGAAAAATATGTTGAAACTTTGGAAATTTATTGAAATCATAACAATCATAAAAGCTTAGACTTTGATTCCTTTAATACAATGTTTTAAATTACAACTTTAAAATCATAAAAGGTTTACAATAAAATTAATAATTATTATACATTTATTTAATTCATCCAACATTCATTTATACTTAAAAAATTTACATAAGTAACTAATTCATATTTATATTTGTTAAAAAAATCAATTTACTAGATTAATCTACCATACTGAAATTTGAAATTTAAATAAATCAATTAACTCATATTTATTCTGTTAAAATCAAATAAATTAATTTATCGTATTGTTAAAGTAAAAATTTAAACAGATAAACTAATCCACATTTATTTTTAAAAAATCATTATTGCATGCATTTTCAAAGCGCCTAAGAAAGAAAAAAATGTAATTTAATGATATATACTGAATAAATACACAAATTTGTTCATATTAAAGAAAAAAAATTACAGTGCCCTAATATATACCAGAGATATGCACAATTAACAAAATACTAACATTTATATTGCAGTAAAATGGATTTATCATTTCATTTTCAATAGTGATATGTTACAAAACAATATAACCAAATTAGAGTCCAACCAAAAAATATTTAGATGTCCAATCATACAGTATTTAATAATTTAATGAGTGGCAATATATTAAAAAATATAACTGATACAAATAAATACAGAAATTTAACAAAGTTCAAGAACTCAGTATTAATGCTGAAAAAATAAATAACAACGATGCCTTACTAGAAGAGTACCTATACTCAAAATTATTCACCAATATTACATAGCTACATACTTTACTAATAGGATTAATATTAAAAAAATCTATGTTGATATGATTAAGATGTCGTATGAAATAAAATTATAATTAATGCAACTCTAATACTTTAAATAATAAAGTAATGAATACTGAAAATACAGCAATTTTTATGATGACTTAAAATTAGTGCTCATCCTTCCTATATGTTTAAATTAATAAAGCTTCACAGTTGAAGCTATTTGCATAAATAAATAATTTAATATGGAAGAAGGAAATGTCAGTAAATCTATGTTTCATTTATTCAAGTGATAACTACTTTTAAAAGAAACAATGGCACTTCTAACTATATCCAACATGAGTGCAACAATGCTTATTTATTTCAAATGTACTTCTTTGGTATGATAAAAAAGTGAAAAGAAAAAAAAATTCTTTCCACTTTTATTATTTGCTAATAGAACATTTTTAAATCTCACTGCCTACTGTAACAGCATTTATTATATTTTGCATCATAATGATAAGTCTCGAAGCATTGGGACCTACAAAAGAATACCTTTTCTTAGATAAATAATCTATATAATATACAACAACAACACTGACTGGTTGATACAACCCATGCCAATGGATACAACTTGTTCCCTATAGGATACTTTTATATTACACAATTTAAATATTTTTACTTTATATATACATGTATAGGAGTATATAAATATTAATATTTTTCATGTCTGTTCAGATTGAGAATCTGACACTTTTGTATTTGATTCTACAGTAGATGGATCATCAGAACTTTGAGACATTCGCAGTGCTATAGCTTTGAGAACAGATGTACTACTGTATGTGTCAATACTATTTTTGAGTTCTGAAAGGGACTTCTCGATCTATAAGAGAGACAGGGAGGGGGGGAAAAAAACGGATAATGAGTATAACAGTTATTTTTTTTTTCACTTACATTAAAAAAGAACTTATTTATTACATTTCTATAAACTAAATGACTACGACAGCTTAGGTAATAAAATATTACTACAAGTTACACTAATTTACTCCAAAGATAGTATGGAGACAATATAATACTGAAAAATCAAATAATATTTAATGTTCAAATCAAGTTTCATCACACAAATATACATTTCCATAAAAATTTGAACTTGCATTGATAAGTTTATGTTTTTTTATGCTATATTTATGTCTACTTTTCCCGATCCACTCGATTTCCAATGCACAGTTTTAAGTGCACTTTAGAAACACAAGCAAATTAGTTGACACAAAGAAGAGTTTAAACAAAGTGAACTTTACAGCTTATATATCAGTGATTCTTTCTGCTTTGACATCAGATTTTAGCTTACTTTTGGGTATGGAAATTTAATTTATTTGTGTTAACCAGATTCGGTATTTCTAAGTGTCTTACTAGGTTAGCTAATGAGTTCATATGTTTGTAGGTAGCAGCAGTTAAATTTTATAAATGCAGTTCTGTTTTGTTTGCTACTGATCAAGTAAAGAATAAATAAATTTTAGCTGCATTCGTTAAATTGTTTTGTAATTTATTTTAACTATTAAGAGATGGTGTGCAATTAAAAGAAGTTAGTCTAAATAACAGGCTGTTTCTATTACAAACTTTTCTGATCTGCATACCCTGAATATTGGAAATGTAGGAACAATGTTACTTGTGTGTGTGCGGGGGGGGGACTTTCTGATTTAACAAATAATATATTTTTAAGAGGTTTTCATCATCTTTTATAATTCTTTCTATGCTGGGCCAGACTCATATTTTTTCTAACATCTGAACACTGTGGAAGCAATGTATTATTATCTAGCAATCTGTTTTATCATCTGCATATCAGGAAATTATAGTTATAAACAGCAATATGAAAAACAGCAACAACTTAAATGTTTCAGATTTTAAATTACATCCAAAGGGGCGTTTTTTTAACATTTTGTGTGTTACATTTATTTATTAAATTTCACATTCTTTGCACTTAAACCATAAAATTCAGTTCAATAGCAATATCGCAAAATAGTTTTAAAATCAGCATATCTTTAGAATTTCTGATACAGAGACTCTGGATACAGACACACTGGATATAAAAATGTTTTTTCTGTGCAACGTTGCCATTTCTTGCTTTGAAATCCTTGAGTTTGTTAAATAAAAAATTCGTTAAAGTTTTACAAAATAGGAAATTAATACTAAAACAAATTCCAAATTTCACATTTGGTCTTCCACATGCCCTTATTCGAAGGAGAATTACATCATTCAAAATTCGATAGCTCTATGTACCGTTGTTTTATCACAATGCGAGAAATATACATACATTTATGCACATTTTTCATTATTTAATTTCTTTCACAGGGCGATAATACTTCGTGGCAACAGTTTGAAAAATGTTCGCCATTTACAGTGAATTGATGCAAAATTCCAAAATAAAAACATTATAGTCCTTCAGGGAAAAAGCACTTTAAGCTAAAAAAAAAAAAAAAAAAAAAAAAAAAGGGGGGGGGGGTTCTGAAGCAATATTTTGACCTTTTCTACAATTCCCTTTAGCAATATAATAATTGTCTAGTACATCTCTAATTAACATCAGACCTATCAATCCATCAAAATGGTGGATTTTCTTATTGATTGAAATAGGCGTAAAGTAGTCACAGTTAATTCTAATGTTAATAATAACTATAAATGCAAATTACTGTTTAATTAATTTCATAAAGGATATGCACACAAAATAATAATACTTAAAAAATGATGCACCAGGAACAAATTATCTGAATGCAATGTAATTACATATGGATCATTCTAACTACATTGCAATGTAATTATGATGATTCAATTCAACATGCAAAATGATTAAATTACGGAAGTCAATGAATGAATCAATGTATTACTGCATAAGAAATTATGGTATATAAAAGAAGAGAATATTCATTTCTAGAACTGAATTTCCATTTGAATATGATTCCATATTCTCACTTCAGCGTCTTGCAGCACACATAATATGAGTACATATCGCCAGTTCAAAGAGGATTAGCAATCAGTCTCAAAAAAGCAGTGTGGTCAAATTGAAGGATTGTTTAACATTTTGGTTTAAGTGGTGCCACCATTCAACAATACTAGCAGGAATGTATGAATCAAGGGAAAACACAGCATCAAGAAAGCTGGAATCAGTTTAGGGAAACAAAAGAATGTGAGGACTGAGTGGCTGTCAAAATAGCTTTCTAAACCATTATCAAAGATTCAAAGTGTAACCAGCACACCAGCAACCACAAGTACCATTAACAAGCAACTATCTTACAGAACAACATTTGCACTCAAACCAATCTACTAATTACCCCTTACCTTTACACACCAACAACATAATAAAAGTAATAAAAATAATACATCTCCAATAATGTCATACTCATCTGACCTCGAATTTCATTGAATGGAGTTGAGCTGTCTTCAGCAATCAGTCCTACTTCAACTAATCCACAATGAGCTGACAACCAGGAGTTATGGTCTGGGGTACCATTTCATTCAATTGTCAGACCCCTTTGATTGTTGTCTGTGACATTTTTACAGCACAGCAGTATGTCAATGACATTCTGTGCTTTGCTGCATTGCCCTTAATTTTGAGACACTAAGGAATAGTAAGAAATTTTGTCTGAAAATCTATTTTAACCACCAAAAGAGGGTGTATATGCTTCATAATGCAAATTTATGTTTTTGGACCTGGCAAACACTAGCTGAATAAACCTTGAAGCCAGAAACTAGATGTAGATGTTCTTTGCTTTTTAATTTTGGAATTTCTTGAACACTGATCAAATGATTCATTAAATTTATGAGGGCTAATGTTTCAAATGAATAATGGTCATTTGGAAACTGAACAGGTGCCTCTGACTGTCCAGGATTTCACTGTTCTTACTTAGCAATTGCAGAAAATTTGGCAAGAAATTCTGCAGGAAGTCATCAAATAATTCATGATTCAAAGCAAAGTTGGTTAACAGCTTGCATAAAGGCCAGAGGTAGGTAAACATCTTATTGATTTATTTGCTATAAAGCCAGCTGAATCTTAAAATATCCAATTCCTCTGAAATTTTAATCATTTTCCCCCACATACAAATTCATTACACCAACTCAATTTCATTCCATTCAGATAACTCCTTCTTGGTGCTTCCTTCTTCCCCCTCCCTTCATTTTGAAAATATAGGAAATAATTATGATGGATTATACTCGATTCCATAATAGAAACTAGTATCTGAACAAGAATACAGATTAAGTCTCAAATAACCCTCTGTAACACTTTTTAAAAGTTGCATGTGGATCTAACTTTACTTTCACACATAACAATGCATGTTTATATCAAACAAATCTAGCTATAAATTTATTAAAAACAAAGGCAATGAGTGAATAAATTGGTCAGCCAGATCTCCTGATGTGAATCTTGTAGAGAAGTTATGGAGCAGTTGTGGGAGAACTGTTGCACTGCAAAATTCTCCTCATACTGGTTTCAATAGCCTACAGACTTATTAATGGAGTAATAGAGATTACTGTCAAAAACAACTTCGCAGAAAGAGAGCATGAAATCACATTGTGATACAATTTTAGAGAGATACAATTTTAGAGGACCTACATGCACATGCCTTATTCACCCTAAACAAGATCTCAGAACAATAACGAACTCTGAGATATTTCCCCTTCAGCATGAATGGATTTATCTTGGCATTCTGCCAAATACAGATCCCATCAGTTTGGGTACAAGTACTTGTTGAATAGTTTTTAAGTAAGAAGGGAGCGGAAAATTTTTGAAAATGTCTCTAAACGGCACAGAAGCTAAACATTTCTTACCTTTAATTTCTTTTTGAGTTATGGTTTCATTTCATGCGTTTTTCTTAACTGGTATGTCATATATCAGGACTTAGGTTGAGTTTTTGCATCTATACGGCCCACGACGAAGTCACCCGCAATTTAATCTATTGTGGCGTTTATGCTGATGCGGCGTTTCTGTGTAATTTGAATTTTTTTCCAGCCATTTTTCTCGAGTGCAGCGTTTACGCTGATGCGGCCTTTCTTCTGGAAATTACGGTAGTATTTATGTGCTATATATCATTCTAAATAAGTTCAGACAATTATATTAAACATTTTTTGAGCTACCAGTGTTTTGTACATGGAAAGATAATTCTGGATAACAATATCAATGCAGCTACGCTTAACAAAAATTAAGAGTTTCATTCAGTTTTTAAAGCAATTAAATATAATGCACATATCGTAATAATAGCAACAACTTAAAATACATTTAACTAAAAATGTATTTTATGATTATCCGCAACCCCACTGAAAAGTCATTACTCAATTAGGAAAGAAACATTTCTTTGGGTACCTTTATGTCTATTTTCACTAATGCATCCAAGGTCTTCTTTGGGTACCTTTATGTCTATTTCCAGTAATACATCCAGGTCTGCTAATGTTCTACTAATGCATCCAGGGATACTTATTAATATTATTTTTTTTACACTCTTCTTTTCTCATAGAAGACGTATTTCTCAAAGGTAATTAATTATATGAAGCAATAGTTGTGCTTGAGGATAATTCCCAGTTCTTCTTCACAGAATTTCACAGACATGCATCTCTTGTCCAGCAATAAAGTGAACAGCTGTTTGTAAAGATATGGCTATCTTTACAAACATCAGTTTCCACCTGGCTACACCAGTTTCCAACCTGCTTTCTAACATCTTGCTTGCAATTTTTCGCTGTTTAAGAAGTACTACTCCATACCATGTGAATTTTCGAACTCTCTATTATTGAGCAAACCATCTTTTTCATCAGCCGACAAACACCAAAGTTTCATTACGATTCATTATGGCTAAAAACAAATGTACTCAATACAAAAAGAATATTTATGAGAAAATGAACAAGGAACTAAAAATGCAAATCCAAGTGTAGTCAAACACACATGTGCTACAGCTGGACAGAGCTAGGTTGCCATATAAATAGTTGTTGGTGACATGGTGTGTTGCACAGCCATATGTTTTTGCAACTTTTCAGTGGGGGTGTTCATAATCAAAAAAATATATAAAAAGCATCCTGAAATATATATAAAATGTCCTTAAAATATTACCAAGTGTATTAATTTGATAACTTCACCAAGTGCTTCTCTCCACCGTTCTGTTTCTGCTCGATGAAGAGCATCTTGCTTCTGCAGTAAATGAATGTAATCTTCTTTTGTTAATGATTGACTAAAAAATTTTTAAAAAATTAATATAAATAACTCCTTTTTTAAAAAAATGTATGCTGAAGAACTGGTAAAATTTTTATTAAAAAAGTACTTTATATATAATGTTATAAAAATAATCACAGGAATCCAGTTAATTCCAATAATAAATACATAAATAAAAATGACAATAACTGCTACTTTTTCACTTGCTTCGCTTCAATTTTAATGTATAAATATTGCATTTTATAAGGGTTCACATATGCGTGATTAAAGAGAAAACATAGTCACACCAGATTTCTTAAATAATAAAATTTAATTCCTACGATTCAACCCAATGTTTTTCTTTTATCCATCTACCCAAAGAAAAGGATATAAAACATGTCTTCTGCTTTGAGCTTGATTATTATGCATTACTATTCCATTATACCTGTATAAATACTTATGTTCGATGGACTGTACTATTTTTTTGAACATTTTAATTAAATAAGAAATGTTAACAAACTAATTAAAAATACATTGTAGAGAAAAATTTCTAATAAATCAAAATAACAAAAAGGACCATGCAATTTAACATTTTAATTAAATATGAAATGCTAATTAAATAATTTAATGTATATAGTACAGAAAAATTTATAACAAATCAAAATAACTAAAAAACTATGCAAGTTCTCTAGATCAGCAGTTCTCAATCTTTTGACTAACATGTACCATCTAAACAAAAATTGAAAAATTTTAGTACCATCACTATATTTTTTTTACAATGATTATTTTTCAATTTCTCAATAAAAATATTTTAAAAATATATATAGTACAAAGTCCAAGATCCAGACAACAACCTTTTTTTTTATTATTAATTTTTTAAAGATTCCCCCCCATGCTATTACTCATGCACATTTGTTGCCCCCCCCCTTGCCCCCCCCCCCGATAATAAAACACGTGCGGAGTCTCAATTCTTAATTTCACTTCAGCACTAATTAAAATACAAAAAGGATTGAAGAAACAATCCTTTTTGCATAAATTTGTGTGATCAATAACGGTAAGTTTAATGTCTATCTTGAACGATTTAAGCTGACATCTTCCAATTTGTGTTATTGCAGTCTTAGCGTTCAGCAAAGTGTTTTCCACTTTGTTTTGGTTACTAAAGTTACTAAAGCTTTACGATAAATGGAGCAGTGAGTAAATTTAGCTTCAAGTGCGACTTTCTCCTGTTAAAGCATGAGCTCCAACATTGCATAAGGCAATATACTTATTCCAAAGAATATCATTCTCAGACATATAATTATCAAGTATTTTTAAAATTTCATTTGCAGTTGATCTATCATGAAGAGATTCAGAAAATAAATACTCTTCGGCAATTTATCTTCTTCGAAACTAATAATTGAACAAAGTTCGTTATATCAGTACTTTCATCCTATTGCAATGCAAAATACTCACTGTGTTTTATTTTTTGAAAAAGTGCCTCTTCTATGGAATTCGCCATTCTGTGAATTTGTCAACTTACAGTATCATTTGATAATGGAATATTATAAAGTTCATTTGCCCTGTTTTGTTGAATAATGTTAAAATGATATTTTTTAGCAGCTGGAAATATAAGGCTTTCTCTGAGCCTGCCCAGTCTTGGCAATTCTTAAGCTTACTAGGTAATTAGCCCCCAAGCTTTTTAACTTGAAGTAACGAAACCTTTCATTACTTGCTTACTATTTTTAGCTCTGATAATTTTAAATATTCTTCAGATTTATTCTTTAAATTGGTATGCTTAGCTTCAAGAAGTTTTTTAAGAAATCATGGTTTCATACTTTGACTGGATAATAGTTGACCGCAAACAACACATTAATGTTGAGGGTTTAATTTTATCTCCATTCCAAGTAAACCAAAATGATAAATAACTTTCATTATATTTTCTATAAAAAATTTTTCTTTTCTTTTCCGTATTCTTATGCTAGTACATTGTCTGGATCCATGACCTGTGAATCATCACTTTTTCTGCTTAGTCAATCCTAACCATTTTTCCATTTTAAAAAATCTAGGTTCGTTTTATTATTTTTTAACAAATATTTAAATGCACAATATATTAAGAGTTTTTCAAAAACAAATGACAATATTCTCAAATCACGCAGAAAAGTAAGGAATACAGAGCAACAAGACAAACTACCTGCAGCCAGAGACAGCAAATAGATGTAAAAAAATTATTCTAATTGAAAATACAGTAATATGAGCCCGGAAGTGGTGGCCACATAAAATGCAGATATGCAGCAAATCCCTCAACTCTAAAAGAATTAATGAGATACTATTATTTTTTATAGGAACTTATTTTTATTTCCTATTTAATACAACATCCATTTCTATAACTCCTTTTAAAAATATCATTTATGTCAAATTTTGTTATGTCTATGAATAAAAGAATATTTCTGAAAATAAAAACGGATATTTTTCTAAAGTCTGTGAGTGGCCATTGATGTTTGAACAAAGCTCAGGTCGCATAAATTTATGACTGTTAGAGAAAAAACTTAAACAGGATGTTGGAATATTAAGTTTTTGAATTTAAAAATTAAAAATACTTTGTTTGTTTGTGTACCACCAGTTGTTGGAAGATTAAGAGAATTGCTGACTAGATACAATGGTACCACTATATCTACAGGTAATATTCCAAGACTTATTGCTGATAGTAGGAAAAACTGTACAAACAGAATATTCATGTAATGAAATAATTATGGTTAAATTTAATTAATAAATTAACCAAGTACGATATTACTAATTTTAAACAGTATAATAACAAAATATTATGTGCATTAGACATTCAGTCAGGGTTGCCACTCAAACAGGAAAATGAAATTCCCTGACTTTTCCAGGTTTTCCAGGTGCGTTTCAAGAAAATTCCAGTCTATCCGCGTAATGTACGTTGGCTACGCTAAGAGGTAAATTATGGTATTACTTGTATTGTGTAGCAAATTCACTTAATTATTCAATAAATCCCAGAGGACATTTATTCTTAATTATTCTTGGTATACTTTGTTTGATAATTTTGTTTACTTTTCCACTTAAGAAACTTAATAAAATTTAAGATATATACATTGGATAACAAATGTATGTTTTATTTAATTATTACTCATGATCATCACCAGTTCAACACGAGGCTAATCCGGTCCTTATAAATCACAACGCAATGCTAAATAGTTAGGTTAGATTTTAGGTACATTTAATTTGTGTGAGGTATGTTCTTAAAAAGCACCTTAACACTTGAAAACACAAATATAATTATAATAGTTCTTGTTTTCTCGATTGAAGATTGAGATTAGAATCTTCCCAATCTGGAATAAAATAAGGCTTTTTTTGCAGACATTCTGCAGCTAAATGAAACAAAGAAATCTATTTTAATAAATTGAGGTATTTATATTTAGTTCGCAGCATACATAAGAAAAAATATGTGCATTAAATTTCGTGATGGTATGTCATCATACTGCTAGAATTAATTTCAAGATTATGCCAGAGAAAATTTCCTGAAATTTAGAAATATTATTTACTAATAATTAATAAATTTAGAGGGAAGAAGCATCATTAAATTATACGAATAACATAAAAATAAAGATAATTACTTAAAAATTGAATTAGAATAATCTACGATATTTTAGCGAATATAGTTATATTACATGGTTAGCCTAGATGACAGATTACTATTTTTTATTTTACTGCAAAATGGCAAGGTATTTATTAAAATGAAAAGTTTAAAAAGATTTTGCGGTAAAATTCTAGTATACGGTAAGGCTTTGGCACGATTTTGAAAATTGTCGCCAAGACCAAAATGACCCGTTTACTGCGCATCATCATGTCGCCAAATCCATACATGGAGATTATTTTAACCAAAAAACGTCTATGCAAAGAATCTCTAATTCTTTGGTCTATGTAAAGAAGAAAATTTTCCATACAAGTAAATGCTATTACGTTACGCCGCTAGAATGCGGAGGGAAAATTTGCCAAGGGATTTGGCGACGGAACTTGGCGGCCAGAATTTCCCTCTCCGCGATGTGTACCGGAAATTGAGAAACGTGTTAAGAAGAAACGTTCTTTGACAAAAGAAAGCTACGAAAATCCGTTTTTAAATTATTGCGAAAAATCCAAGAAGAAACGTTTTTATCAAAGGATTTTTTTTCGCAATAATTTTAAAAACGGATTTTCGTAGTTTCCCCCCCCCCCTGAAAATTACTAACCTATGAATTAATTTACTTGCGCCAAAAATATTTTCTTTTAATTTAGAGTTTAACTACTTGCGCTAAGACTAAACTTCAAGGTTGCGGTGCCGTGCGCTACAATATAGCAGTGGTAAAGTTTTTTCTCATTTACGCCGCTCCGCGTCTGCGAGTGCAATCCAGAGCTGTAACTCGAGAAATAAAAACATCTCGTTGTTAGGGCGACGTGTGCACCATGTTATTTTCATTTTTGCGATAAATGCTTTATCGACGTGGTTTCACGTCGCTCGCAGTTTGAGACAAAAACATCTTGACGTGCGTGGCACGTCTTTTTAGCGCAAGTGGTTAAAGAAATTTTAAAGGATATTCATTTAATGAACTCTTGATAACGTGACCTTCGAATTTCGACACCGGTTTCCAGCTTTGGCGGCAGATATATCACGCATGCACAGCTGTTTCCCTCTATGATGGAACGGAGCCACGTCTGTTGCAGAGAGGTTTTCCTTCTTTACAATACATATTCTTTGATTCTAACCTCCATGGTACCGTATACTAAGATTAAACCCATTTTTTTGTTTTATACGAGAACAGTACTTTTCTTTAGTTCATGCACTGCACATGCGATTCTCGAGAATACTGGAAACCAAAAGTTGCGGGAAACTTGCTTTGCCTTTCTAAAAGGCAATCAAATTGGAGCTGCGAAAATTGGCTCTATGCCAGCAGACACTCACGTGATAGGCAATTCGCCAAAAAAGTTATCTCTATCCTCTTCCGACGTCGGCGCAAAAATCGCTTTTTTTTGGTGGGATCATTGTATGAACTTCTTCCTGACTTTTTC